CAAAATGAAACTTAATCCTACTAGCCGCGTAATGGCCCGCCAAGTTTTTTTCGGTGAGTTCATAACTCGGGAATTTGAGAAGCTAGAACGCTAAAATGTTAGGGTGAGGTCCCCCACCCAAGTCGGTGTTGATGCACTGAAGCCCATCCAGCTAAATGAGATTAAACTCCACATTATATCAATTCGATAGGCTATAACACCGCGTAGTTAGAAAAGTAGATAAAATATGAAGCTGAATTTAAAAATATTGGAATCAGCGATAAAGAACCAGTCTAAATATCATATGTAAAGAAGAAATACTGGAAGGCAACCTGTGTTTCATCCCTTAGCTGCAAACACAAATAGTGAACATCCCACGAGTAAAACTCAAGTTTCACTCAAAAGCCTAAAAGTTAACATTTTCTACCTAATTTCACTATCCGTTAGAGCTCAAAACACATGGGAGTAGCTCGATTGGTAGCAAATGCCAATACTAACCATCCACTGACAAGGATTTCTCATTGGTTCCTCTTACAAGTGATGCTTATAAGCAAGCTGATGACGGATTTGTTATCCGGACATGCGCCAGTACCAATTTATCATCGAAACGAATGAACGAATCTTCGAAGGATCCAATGCCCCATTGGTGGAATAAAACCCTCGATCCCTCGTATGACAGTACATTAAGCCCACCCCAGAAATGAGGGATTCTGGGGGGAAGCAATGCGAGAAATTTCAAGAAAATAATCAGATTCCTGTATAAAAAAAAAAAAAAAAAAAAAATAAAAAATAAGTAACTGGATTTCCGTATAAAAAATATAAAAATATAAAATATATTTGGATTTCTGTATTGAAAAAATAAGAAAAAAAAGATTTTGAGAACATTTTGGACCTCTGGCGGGAGAGGGATGGAGGCGGGGGGGGAGGGGAGAGGCGGAGGTTCGAGGGGAAATTTACTCACTTCATATACTGATAAAACAAACTTACTGGAATTCATCGTCACTTTTACCGTCACTTTCGTCGAGTTCCTTTCGCTTATCGTTGTTAGCCGTGTTAGTTTCCTCATCACTGGATGACGAATCATCAATTACAACACGACGGTACTGACGACGTTGCGACATCGTGCCTGTTTGATGACCATTATCATGATTTTATCGCGATTTCTTCCTTTTTTTGTTGATGAACAACGATTTGAACATTAAAATCAAGCAAAAGAAAGAGAGCACGATGAAAAGTCTTTATTCATTTAACAGATGTCTTTTCTAGCAATAAGCACCGACCATAAAAGCAAAACTCATTTTATTAATAGTTCTGTTGTATGGAAGTGAAACATGAAATACCACAATTGCTGTGGAGGAAAACTTGGCAATGAGCCATGGGACGATGTATGATAAGTGACAGTATATTGCAGCACTTTTCCAATAAAAAGTGCTGCAGCTCCAATCTGTATTAGTGATATTATCAAAGCAGTGCAGACCAGGTAGAATGTTAAGTCCTCACGTGGTCCTTGACTGCAGCAGCGGAAGACAAGGAAAAATACCAGCACTTTATTCTTTCAACAAGAGCTTCGCTTCAAATAAAACGACGAGTGGAACGACACGTAAAACGACGAACCGGGGCATCGCACAAGCTGTTCAGCAGAAGAACGCCGGTGGTGTTGAGAGGAGACGCTAGTAGCGTTAATAGTAAAAGAACGTAACGGACGAACGGGGTTTGTTGATTCCCAAAACTAAGGGCCTGGGTTTTAGGAGGGAAATTGAAGTGTAGGGTTACAAGAATAGTTGGGCTAGTCATGTGGTAAGAATAAGAGACAACAG